TTTTTTTTTTTTTAAGATTTTATTTATCTATTCATGAGACACAGAGAGGGAGAGGCAGAGACACAGGAAGAGGGAAGAAGCAGGCTTCAAGCAGGGAGCCTGACGTTGGACTCGATTCCGGGTCCCCTGGATCACACCCTGGATTGAAGGTGACACTAAACCACTGAGCCCCGCGGGCTGCCCAGTAGAGATCAGAATAAAGTACATTTTTGGTGTTAGAGAATAAAACATTCTGAGGGTTTTTTTAAATTTTTATTTATTTATGATAGTCACACACACAGAGAAAGAGAGGCAGAGACATAGGCAGAGGGAGAAGCAGGCTCCATGCACCGGGAGCCCGATGTGGGATTCGATCCCAGGACTCCAGGATCCTACCCTGGGCCAAAGGCAGGCGCCAAACCGCTGCGCCACCCAGGTCCCCTCTGAGGGGTTTTGTGTGTGTGTGTGTGTGTGTGTGTGTGTGTGAACACAGATGTACAAATACATTTAGTAGTAAAAAATAGTTGAAGTGTGATTTTTAAAATATCTGCACAAGTGAAATCAACCTTTTTAGAAATGTCATAAGTAATGAGATTGATGTTTCTGATACATATAAATGGCCAATCCCTATTTGTCAATTCAATTTACTTATTCATTTATGAAAGGTCTTAATACTATATTTAATAATTGTGCAAGAGAGTATACCTATTAAGAAAACAATATGTACAATCACATGGAAGTTTCACAAATGAGGATATGCAAATTATTATTATTATTAATTATTATTATTATTAAAGATTTTATATATGTATTCGTGAGAGACACAGAGAGAGAGGCAGAGACACAGGAAGAGGAAGAAGCAGCTTCCCTGCGGGGAGCCCGATGTGGGACTCGATCCTGGGACCCCGGGGTCATGACCTGAGCCGAAGGCAGGCGCTCAACCGCTGAGCCACCCAGGGGCCCCATGCAAATTATTTTGTAAAGATAGACAAGGGTGGATATGGAAAGGAGAGAAATGAAAGACCGGGAAAATGAGGTTCTGATCATAATGGATGCTGCACGTCATTTTTCAAGCTGGAAATTTATCCTGAAGGTACAGAGGGATTGAGAAATTTTAATGAAGAAAATAGCATGTTCAAACTTTTATTTTAGAAATATAGCTATCAGCAGTGGAGGATAGAGAGGATGGGGGACCACGTATACAGGAAAACCATTTTTCCCATGTTGATAATTTTAAGGAATGGAGACAAAATATTCAGGACCAGCAAGAGGAAAAGAGGAAGAAATTTGTAATAGAACCAATACAGGAGTCTAAACTCGATTGCCTGTTATTTTCAGAAGTTATAACTCCTATTTCAACCATAGTGTAATGTAAATATGGCTGTTCACTTTTTTGTTTGTTTTTAAGATTTTTATTTATCTATTCTTTTTTTAAAAGATTTATTTATTTATTTATTTATTTATTTATTTATTTATTTATTCATGAGACAGAGGGAGAGAGAGAGAGGCAGAGACACGGGCAGAGGGAGAAGCAGGCTCCATGCAGGGAGCCCGACGTGGGACTCGATCCTGGGTCTCCAGGATCAGGCCCTGGGCCGAAGGCGGCGCTAAACCGCTGAGCCCCCCGGGCTGCCCCGTTCACTGGTTTTAATTGCCCTGTATATAATCAGATTCCATATATCAAGCCCGAGGTGGTTTAAGTTATGTCGAATCATGATTTTGTGTTGCTATTCAAAAAAAAAATAAATAAACTGCTAGTTCGACTATTACATAGTGCTAAATTGCCATTGATTGTAGAACGGATTCCAATTTCACAGATAACAAAATGAGACAAAATGTACATCTTAGAATTGATAAAATACATTTTTTTTCATAATATGAGCCCATGGCTTCTCAAAAAACATTTTGTTTTAAAAAGCTCTTTTGAAAGAATATATATCTGGAATTAATAAAAGATGTTACAGGTGTAGGGGGATCCGTGGAATTTCCAGATGCTGAAATGTGCAGGTGAGGGCTCCCAAGAGTAAGAGAGCTCGTGCAGAATTCCTTCCGCTGCTTCTTCCACTCAGGCAGGGCAGTAATGCCCAGTCATTACCACCTTTGTTTGCAAAAGGTACTTGCATCCTTAATTTCATCTGTCTCTCAATTAAAACATCTTTGGTGCCTTTTATTTCCACTTCCCCTAATTGTGACCATTTTTGCCTTTGGGGTAATTGCTGTTTTCTAAGATTTATTATTATTATTATTATTGTTGTTATTATTATTATTAATTTGAGAGAGAGAATCAGCGAGTGAGAACTCTGAGGAGGGGGAGAGGAAGGGGAGAAGCAGACTCCCGGCTGAGCAGGGAGCCGGATGGGGGCTGGATCCCCAGACCCAGACCCCAGGATCATGACCTGAGCTGAAGGCGGATGCTTAACTGAGTCCCCCACGGGCCCGGGTCATTGATTTGATAGGTGCCCGTATATTACACATGACTCCATACATGTAAATGATTGCTTCTTAATTGCCAGTTCAATTTATTCATTCATTTATGAAAAGCTCTTTATTTTACATTATGACTAGTTATCGGCCACAAATTGCTTGTTGAACTAATACATAAATTAATGAATTCTGACTCCTAGAGTTTTCCACTAACCAATAAACAACGAAGCTCATTCGATTTAAGTAAACATTCAAACTGAGAAGTTTTAAAATTTCTGAGTATACTATGCAAATTTAAGAGTTTTAGCCATTACAAATGCTTGGCGGAATAAAACAAATTTGAAAAAGGATGAAAAGTGTAGGATCTAAACAGAAACCTCAAATTTACCTGACATAGTCTCTTTCAAATATCTTCTAGTATCAAAGAAACAAAAAATAATAAGATTTTTCCATAGGATAAATATACTTTGGGGGAAATAGTGAGACAATTGACAAATGATTTTTGGGGAAACCATAACATTCTCAAACTTTTTATTATGGTGATCTGGGGAAAAATAATATTTAGTAGCACAAGCAATAAAAATTCCAGGAAGTAATATCTAGATTATTTCCGAGCACATAACCCCTTCTAGTTTTAATGCAGTACACATTTACCAAATTAAATCTTCCAATCAGCTATTTAGTGTCTGCAAATCATTCTGATATTCTCAACGATGCCTTTTAAATCTCTCTCCCTCGTCAGCTGACATGCTGGTTCCCTGACCAGTTTCCTGCCAATTGGCCCAGTATTTACAGTTATCTGTCTAAATTCATGTGTCAATTATAGGATTTTCGAAAGTGATCACTGATCACTGATTTCTTTTTCACGTCTGCAAAAGGACTTAACGGTTTCCATATTAATTCGTTTTCATGATATCTCATTTCAAACTGGACCCCGCAGTATATTTTACTTTTACTTTGAGCGGCAAAATAGACCACTGATGAAAGAGGATTCATCCAATTACTACGAGCAAAGTAGCTCTAACTTGCTTCAGATATCCACTAGCAAGATATAAAATGACACTTCCCGGACACATCAGTAGCACAATAGGGCCTTTATTGATTTTCATATCATGTTCTTCAGTCTGAAATGGCTCTCTTGAGGACTCCACTTCCCAGCAGGAAAAAATTGCCTTTTCTACGTTTGAATTCTCAGGTCTCTTAATGCATCCCTAGCTGGAGACAGTGTCATTTTAGTTCTATTTCTTTGTAGTCGATGTGTCTACACCTTGCTATTGTAGTGCCCTAATGGATCCTAGGGTTGTAGGTCAAAGTATGAAAACAAAAAATGAAATTGCTTAGCCTGCGAATCAATAAAAAAGACTCTTAACACTTTTTCTAAGTATAAAATGTGCAACCAATGAAGTGTGATAAGTGCATTCAACCTTGTACTAAAACTATAAATAGAGTATTTCTAAGTCTTGGCATTTATATACTCAAAATGAAGATAAACGGTTACTTTTGTTGCTCAACGTACGGATACCTAGATCAAGAGAACCAACGAAAGTGCATTTGTTATGTTGACTAAAATGTTGAATTCTAATCTCTTCGAAAGTTACCTGGGAATGGCATTGAATGTCATTCTATTGTCGTCCACCCTAAATAATCTAATTTGATTTAAAATTCTCTGCAATAAAACCACTTCAAGGAGAACTGTCTTCATTTTTTAACTTGACCTTCCTGAAATCATCTATTAGACAGCTAAAATTGCTTTTAGTGATTGCTATATAATAAAAAAATTCAGTTTGATATTGAGATAAAATATAGAGAGTAAAAATAGCACCATAATATTTCCATGTGAGAACAAAATGCCTTTATCCATAGTCTTCAAATTTACTTCTAATAACTAAATCTTTTACAGAGTTGACATTTTTTATTATCTAATAATTTCATTATTCAACAGTTAATGGATTTATTATATAACCACTCTACCCCCTAGAAATAACCCACAAGTTATTACCAAAGGGACAGCAGTTTCAGAAAAATCTATTTTTTTTAGCCAATTCAACTTCTATTTTAACCTTTTTTCCGAGAGTTATTATAAAATATAAATTCAACAAATTTTTATTTCTGTTCTTTCCATTTCTAATTTCTTTACAAAATCTGAACTAATTGCCTTACTTAAAATATCACATAAGTGAAAAATTCCTTCGGTAGGTGGGATAAACCTCTTTCAATGATTTTTTAAAAGATTTTTTTCTATGGCCCTTTAGCAATAATAACCATCTAACTCATATTGCCTTTTAATTACCTGAATCCTCATTGACCCCCCAAAACAATCTTCCTTAAAGGAATAGTACATATTTTTGAAACCTTACATGATCATATCAGTAGTTGAAATAAATAACCATTTTAATATCATGTAGGCCGCCCTAAGCTCATGAAGTCTTATAGAGAACTTTATAAATTAATGTCACCAAACACACTGGCTATTTTGAAAAGCATAATCTTTTACTAATTGCTAATTGTTAATCCTCACATATATTTTTATAGTAATGGTTAGTTTAAGGGAATGGAATTGTTTTTTGTTGTTATTTTTCTTGATGATAATGTGCAAAAAAAAAATGGAAGACTTCATGAATTTGTGTATATCCTTGTGCAGGGGCCATGCTAATCTTCTGTGTATCACTCCAATTTTAATATATGTGCTGCTGAAGTGAGCACTTGGTGTTTTTTACTAAAACAGGTTATGTAAAAATGCATTTAGCATACAAGTGGTTGCTCATAGTATACGTAAACGGGAAAACATCTCTCAGACATCTAGAAGTAAATTAATACCACTATTCTAACTGTGAAACTTTTGGGAAGAAGGCATATTTGAGAACAGTAAGAGAAGTAATCAGAGGGAAGAGTATTTATTTCATTGAGGGAGCACATGCCTGAGACATCACACCAACTCAAAATAGGAGTGAATGTAAAACACTAAAAATTGTCTTTGCCATTCAGATAGAGATGTAAGTTATATTTAAAGACCTGAAGGACACCTGGGTGGCTCAGTGGTTGAGCGTCTGCCTTTGGAGAAAGAAAAGAAAAAGCCATAGAGTTTTCATGCAAATGAACAAAACAACAAATGGGTACCAAATTTCTCTGGACTAAGGATGTGATTGAGAAATCATCATGAATCAAAATGCGATAATTGCAAAAAAATAAATTGCAAAAGAAAAGCATATAGAATATTATTCAAATAAAAAAAAGAATATTATTCAAATCATTACTGGCCAAGGGCTTAAGAAATCGACTTAGAATTCTGTGATATCATATTGGGTTTTTTAAAAGATTGTATTTATTCATTTGACAGAGAGAGAGAGAGAGAGAGCGCATAAGTAGAGGGAGTGGAGGCAGAGGGAGAGGCAGAGGGAGGCAGAGGGAGAAGCAGGCTCTCCACAGAGCAGGGAGCCCAACGCAGGGCTGGATCCCAGGACCCTGGGATCCTGACCTGAGCTGAAAGGTTAGGGTTAGACCCATTGAGTCACCAAGGCACTCCTCTGTGAGACCTTTCAATGCCAGCACTATTGAAATCTCCATTTGGTCTTTGTTGGAAGATATTCAAAATAAGGAAAGCATCATGATCGAAAATTTGAGTCTTATGAAAAGTTGATGGGTATTGATGACCATATAAAATAGAAAATATACAATTTTAATAAAGTGATCTCTATTTGATTTCTCTTGGTAAGTAACACCCACCACCTAAGACCACCAGCTAACCATAATCACTATAGTGAATTGGCTATAGCTTCTCTTTTAATCAAACTGTGCACTGAAAATATGTCCTCCAATATTTCCAACATTAAAACAAATGTGTTTTTATTAAAATAAAATAATGCAATCGTAAACATGTACTCATTTCTCATTTAGCATCTACTTTGGGTGGTATTATAAAATTTGAAATTAAGGGATTCCTGGGTGGCTCAATGGTTTAGAGCCTGCCTTTGGCCCAGGGTATGATCCTGGAGTGTTGGGATTGAGTCCCGCATCCGGCTCCCTGCATGGAGCCTGCTTCTCCCTCTGCCTGTGTCTCTGCCTCTCTCTTTCTCTCTCTCTCTCTCTTTCTCTCTCTCTCTGTCTCATGAATAAATAAATAAAAATCTTTAAAAATTTTTGAAATTACACACACATACACAAAAGTGTTAGATAAAATATTTCAAACATTTCATGCTTCCTTAAAGATAGAATCAAAGATTCTAGGAAAGGTATATAAATATTACTATTAATGTTTCAGCCAAAATCCGAGAGAGGAAAATCTGTTTCTCTAAATATTCTCCAACAGTAAACTTTTTAAACTGGTGAAGATAATATTTTGAGCAAGAAAACGCAAGGCTTTTAAAGAGTAGAGGAGCAACTGAAAATGAATGCGATGGCAGGAAAATGGTTGCATCAAAATGTTGATTGTTCCAAATGGCCCCAAACAGTGACTCCAAACCCTGAGCAGTTGGGCAAAATCCCCAGCAATGAATGCAGTTCATTTCTGTGGTTTGTCATGCAGAGCGTAACTTTCAGAATGCTACACAATATATTTCTTTTTTGAAAAATGACCTTAGAACACAAAGAATCAACACTGCTGATGACACATTTAAGAGAAAGTAGAGAAATCTGAAAATAGTGAGGGTACTTACCCAGAAACAAGTTTTGTTTTAACATATAAAGTGTTTAATTTGGGGAAGGTTCAAATAGAATCTTAACCTCAACATGGCTAGGTCATTCTCTTTACAGAAATCAGAAAATCATGAGAAGATTATTTTTTATATTTTTTATGGCACTTTATTAGGACAATTGTGGTCCATGAGGTTAATTACAAATTTAGAATTTTTCAAAGGATGCATTTTTGTTTAATGGGATGTGCTAATGATTATAAAACAGATGCCTCTATTTTGCCTTTGTCAGTTATGGGTAGGTAATTATTTTTTACCAGCTCTATTGAAGTATACTTGACAAAATAAAAATCGCATATATTTAAGGTGTACAACCTGATGTTTTGCTATCCCTATACATTGTGAAATGATCACCACAATCTAGCTCATTAACAGATCCATCACCACACATAAATAACATTTTCTTTTTTGTGTGTGGTGATTAAAGTCTACCTTGTTAGTAAAATTAAAGTATATGATCTCGTACTGTTAACAGTAGTCACGTTGCTGTACATTAGATCTCCAGAATTTATTCATTCCGTGTAACTGACACTGTACCTCTTGCCCGGCATCTCCATATTCCACACCCCCCACACCCCAACCACTCTTCCCATCCCACACCTCCCACCTCCACTAGCCCTTGGCAATCATACTCTCTGTGTCTCTGAATTTGACTATTTTTAATTCTACACATAAGTGAAATCACGCAGTATTTGTTTTTATTTGGCTTATGTCACTCATGTTCTCTAGGTTCATCTATATATTTGCAAGTGGCAGGATTTCCATTTCTTTGAAGGTTGCATAATATTCCACTATAAATAACATTTTCGGTATATATGAATATGTATGTGGATATATATCACATTTCATATATATACATATATATGAATACATACATTTTCATATATATGCTTTCATATATATAAAGATTTATATTTATATATATTATATGCTTTCGTATATATATTTCATATATGTTTCATATATATATATATATATATATATATATATAGCATTTTTGTCATCCACTTTTCTGACAGTGGAGATTTAGGTTGTTTGCATATCTTGGCTATTAGTGAATAAAGCTGCAATGAATACGATAGTATGGATATCTCTTTGAGGCCCTGATTTCATTTGGTTTAGATATATACTTAGAAATTGAATTTCTGGATCATTTGGTAGTCCTATTTTTAGAATGCTTTTGAAGGACTTCCATACCGTTTTTCATAATGGCTGTCCGTTGCCACCGATAGTGTACAAGAGTTCCAAGATCTCCAAATCCTTGCCAACACTGATTATCTTATGTCTTCTTGATAGTAGCCATTCTAGTATCTTATTGTGGTTTTGATTTGCTTCATTTATGAACAGAAAACCAAGATTAAGTTGCACATATCACAGAAGGATAAAAACTTCAGTGGCAAATGGTATTTTTAAGTTGCTCTAATAATGCCATTAATATTTCTTGACAGTGTATCATAACACATGCTGCCAGAAAGAGACAAAACATCCTAAAGGAAAGACCTAAGGCCGCAACTAAATACCACAGTCAGAAAAACAAAGAAAATCAATCCAAATTTATATATATTTTTCTTGATACAAAGAAAGACTACAAAAGTTTACAAGCCTTCTTAAATATCATCTTGGATAGCCAAGCTGAAGTGCTTTAAACCCAGCCTTTATTTCAGATCTTTATTAAATGTTTCTTTGGAAAAAAATGCATTCCTCCCGTAGTAATTTTTATCCTCTTTTAATATGTATATTCACTTTTTTTTCTTTTAAAATTTTGATTTAAATTCTAGTTAGTTAACATGCCACGCAATATTGGTTTCAGGAATAGAATTCAGTGATTCATCACTTACGTACGACACCCAGTGCTCCTCAGAGCAAGGGCCCCCCTCAACACCCATCACCCATTGGACTCATCCCTCCTTCCTGGCTGCCCGCTGTCAACCCTCAGTTCATTCTCTATCTTTAAAAGTCTCTATGGTTTGTTTGCCTCTCTCTTATTTTCCTCCCTCCCGGATGTTCATCTGTTTTGTTTCTTAAATTCACATGAGTGAAATGCTATTTGTCTTTCACTGACTGACTTATTTCGCTTAGCATGGTATACTCTAGCTCCATCCATATCATTGCAAGTGGTAAGATTTCATTCTTTTTATGGCTGAGTAATATTCTATTGTATATATATCACTTCTTCCTTATCCTTTCATCAGTCCATGGACCTCTGGGCTGTCTCCATAGTTTGGCTGTTGTTGATAATCCTGCTATACATCACGGTGCCTGTAGCCCTTCAAACCTGTATGTTTGTAAACTTTGGGTAAATAAAAACCAAGTGGTGCAATTGCTGGATCACAGGGTAGTTATATTTTAACTTTTTGAGGAACTTCCAAACTGTTCTCCAGAATGACTGCACCAGTTTGCATTCCTACCAACCACCTAATAGGGTTCCCCTTTCTCCACATCCTCACCAACACTTGTCTCCTGTGTTGCTAATTTTAACCATTCTGATAGGTATGAGATGATATCTCATCATAGTTTTGATTTGCATTTCCCTGATGAGTGATGGTGAGCATCTTTTCAGGTGTCTGTTGGTATATGGATATCTTCTTTGGAAAACGATTCATGTTTTCTGCCCACTTCTTAACTGGGTGGTGTTGGGTGTTGACTTTGGTAAGTTCTTTATAGAATGTAGAGACTACCCCTTTATCTGATATGTCATTTGCAAATATCTCCTCCCATTCCATTCCACTGGCTGCCTTTTAGTTTTGTTGATTGTTTCCTTTGCTGTGAAGAAGCTCTTTATCTTCACGAAGTCCCAATAGATCTTTTTGCTTTTGTTTCCCTTGCCTCCAGCAATGTGTCTAGTAAGAAGTTGCTATGGCTGAGGTCAAAGAGGTCATTGCTTGTGTCCTCCTCTAGGATTTTTAAAAATATTTTATTTATTTATTCATAAGAAACATGGAAAGAGAAGCAGAGACACAGACAGAGGGAGAAGCAGGATCTCTGCAGGGAGCCCAGGACTCTGGGATCACGACC